GTGTGTGTGTGTTTGTATAGTGTGTGTGTGTGTGTATAGTGTGTGTGATTCACTCACAGCGTCCATTGAGGTTGTGTGTGTGTGTGTGTGTGGATAGTGTGTGTGTGTGTGTGTGTGTGTGTGTGTGTGTGTGTGTGTGTGTGTGTGTGTGTGTGAAGGATGGCGATCGATGCGTTTTATGGCTCGAGAGCTTCATCCAACGCAGATTTATGAAAGCGGAGAGGACAGGCTTGACTCGGCAGCCCACACACACACTCCATCACTATAACAAGCAGCTCACACACACACACACACACACACACAGATAGTAGCTACAGACAAACAAAGACAATGGCTGGAAACAAAGATAAATTCAGCGTGCGTCTGTGAATGTCATGGCCATGTGATAAGACAATGAAATGAAGTATGTGCACACAGCATCGGCTGTGTGTGTATGAATGTGTGATTATTTGTGTCACAAAAATATATTGCTGAATGAATATTCATAGGACAGCTAAGCACAAGCACACGTGTGTGTATAGGTATGTGTGTGTGTGTAGACGTAACACAGTGTCTGTGTGGGTATTGTTGTCACGCTGAGTGCTAGGCCCGGCAAACTGTAATTTAAGAGTCGGCCCTCGCGCTTCAACCTGCATATTAAGCCTTACAGGATAATATGCACTTGGTGACTTTAACCCCCTACAACATCAGCGCAACGCTGTCACAACATTTCACCCGGAGCGAGAGACCAGGGAGGGAGAGAGAGCGAGCAAAAGAGAGGTAGTCAGTGAGTAGTTTTGGTTTAATCGCAGTCACTTGGATCTTTCTCATTGTGAAGACTGGTAAATTAAATATCAGCAGCCAGGGACACAAGGTCTGTCTTTCTCTCACTCGTTTTCATTTTCACTCTGCCTTATTTTTTTTTGCTGTAAAATTGTTGGACAAATTAAGTTAAATATTAAACTGATACAAATTCTGTCATCATTTCCTAATGTTGTTCCAAATCAATTTCTTCTCATGAACACAAAAGAAGAAAATGTTCACACTGTTCTTTTCTCTAATTTAAATATAATTTAAATAAATGAAAGCAAAATTATAGCTTTGAGTGAAGAGCAGTCAAACAATTTGTATACATTTTGACAAATTAGTGGCTAATGCATATGGTTTTGTTTGTTTTTATTTTGGCCTTATAAACTAAAATGAGGAGGAGGATTGGCATAGGGAAATGTTGCAAGTCATATTCAAACCTGCACTGTCCATATGAGCAATCAACACCAAATGCACTGCTAAGCCATGGTTCCAACATCTTAAATGTCCTTTATTTGGGTATTGTATTTTGCTTGTCAGAACAGAGCACATGCCTGTCTGCAGGGCCACTGCTGGCCAAATGGGTGCCCTAAGCAGAATAGTATTGTTGTGCCCACGTCCTCAAAAAAAAATAAAAATAAAAATCTACTATAAGGGGTCAAAATAGAAACACCTATTATAAGGGGTCAAAATAGAACTTTAATCAAATCTAAAAATAAATAGATAAATTGTAATTCAATTGTATTATTTATGAATTACAATTGTAGCTCTAGACAGTTACCTATGGATATGATTTTATTAATACAGTTATCTGATTGATTTTATGGTCTCAAGCATTCAGAAATCACACAAAATTAAATTAAGCAGTTTTACTACAATAAAACCATGGTTAATTTTAAAACCATGATAAGGGTTGTGATGTCCACATGTTTTTGTTGAAGAAATTAAAGAGGCTGTAGCATTTCTATCACAAAAAGGTGGCCAAAAATTAAAAAATGAAGTGGATATTTGAATTAAATGTTTGGTCAATATTAAACAAGGATTTGATCATCCTGTAAGTGTAACAAGAGCAATTATCAAGCCTTTGGTGCCCTTTGCAGGCATTTGTAATAATGTAAATTGGTTTATGTTGTATTACATTATGTATTTTAACAGTGTTATTCAATGAAACCATATTTAAACCATATACCATATACTGCCTCGTAGTTTTTATATAATACATTTTAAGTCATGGAAACCAGAATATTAAGTCAGATGCGTTGTTGGTGGTGGTAAAATTATTACCGACATTAAAACACATTACTAATGTCAACAGTCCAAAAAGTTTCACAGGATTATGACCGTAACGTTAGTTACTTGAAAGTGATGCATGGGCTTCTTCTCAGACTTATTTCTGCGCTGATGTCTTTTCCCTGATATAGCCTAGTTGTCCATTAATTATGATGATCATTTGTATTCAGCCACAAACATGAGGTGAGAGTGAGCGCGGGCCAGATGTGGGAATGGCACGTCAATGGTGCTTATACTGCCTACTGCGTTCATCATAAAATGCATTTTTTTATAATTATACATATATAATATATTTTCGTGTTTAGATTTTTATTTATGTATTATGTTAATATTAACATAGAACAACGTTTTTTTTTTTTGAGCAACTGGGATGGTGCCCCCCTGGGCCCTACGCAAACTGCATACTCTGTGTATAGGGAGCGGCGGTACTCCCTGTCTGTGTGCGACTGTACATAAGACATTTGACTTCACAGAAGAAGTGACCCACTGGGTGTACATGTTTAAAAATGGAGATTGATGGATTAAAAGAGAGGCGGACAGAGCTATGGACATATTAGTCCCACATCTCCCTGCGATCAGTTCTATTTGGGAGTGTAGATCAATTCTTGTCTAGTCTTCCTTCGCTTTGAGGTGTGTGTGTGTGTGTGTGTGTGTGTGTGCGCGCGCATGGGGGATTAGAGGGGGCATTTAAGGTCTGTCTAAAACAAGGGCTTGAGTGTACCACACACATACACGGTTCTGTGGTAGTGCTGGAGTGTGTAGCGTGGGCAGCCTGGGGCATCATGTCAGACCGATGGAAGAAAAAAAATATGGAATTGGATTTATGTGTGGAGCATGGCAACCTTCCAGTTACATCTCACTCTACACAGACTCCCAAAGGCCAGAGAAACACACTCACACACACACACACACACACACACACACACACACACACACACACATCCTCAAAAAAAAATAAAAATAAAAATCTACTATA